GAGTGGGAAGAAGGCCAGGGCTCAGGGAGTGGGGAGGAGGGCAGGGCCCTGCCCGTACCACTCTTGGCCCGGTTCTCCTCGTTGCGGTTGATGAGCAGGAAGCGGGGGCTCTCGGGGCAGAAGGGCAGCACGACGCACTGCAGCAGGGCTGGGGCGAAGATGACGCTCAGCAGCAGGGGCCACAGATCCTCGTTGCCCATGATGGAGTCCAGGCCGAACACCTGGGGGAATCAGGGGCCGTGAGCGCCCCCACCCTGACCTCTACTCCCCCAAGTCTGACCAGAGCAGCCTTCCCTGCTTGGTGTCAGCGGCTGCTTTAGGGAAAAGGCTTCGGCTCTGGAGCCTCTGCCACCAACATGAGGCTTAACCTGTCTGGACCTTAGCTTCCTCACCTGTCACGAGGGGAAAGTAGGACCTACCCCCACAGTGTTGCCGGGAGGACAAATGACAAGGCCATAGATGGGTCTGGGGCAGAGCAGGGGGCTGCTTCTCTGTCACTGGAGTGTTTTAGAGATAGGGAAGGGAAGCCTCTGGAAAGATGGTACGGTGTGTGCATAAAGGCATATGGGCCTGGAGGCACAAGAGAGCCCGGCTTGTTGGGGGAACAGTGGAGGCCCTGTGGCTGGAGGCCTGGAGTGAGAAGGAAGAGAAGGGTCAAGTCGTCTTGCTCTTTTCTGGGAGGGCCCACGGGCAGTGTGTTCTCTGGACTGTGTGCCATGAGGCTGTCCTTCGCAGGGCTGGGGAGGCTGGCTGAAGTCTAACCAGAGAAACTCTGCCCTGCTGGGCAGAGACCCAAGAGCCACTGAAACTGTGGATGGGACAGTGCCGGGCAAGCAGACCCGGCCCCAGCTTACCTGGGCGATGAGGATGCCCACGACGATGCCCAGCTGGTGCAGGGTGCCCAGGGCCCCACGAAGGGCTGTGGGTGACACCTCCCCCACGTACATGGGCACGAAGCCTGTGGTCAGGCCACAGTATACACCGATGATAAAGCGGCCCAAGATCAGCATCTCAAAGGAGTTGCCCAGTTTCGAGAAGCCCATGAGCACAGCAGACACGAAGGCCAGCAGGTTCATCATCAGCATCGAATTTCGTCTGGAGGTAGGGTCACAGGTCAGGCGGGTGTCTGCATCACCTTGGGCTCCCTAGGAGCTAGGTCATACAGGCACATCTCCCCCACCTCCCACTCCATCTGGGACTCCCTGGGTGGGAGGGCACGGGTTCCCCAAGGGCAAGGCCAGGACCCTTCTTGCTCACCGGCCAAAGCGGTTCACAAACAGGCCCACAGAGAAGGAGCCAATCATGCCCCCAACGGAGAAGATGGCCACAGAAAGGGACCAGAGTGTGGTGAGCGTGGCGGGCAGAATGCTCTCCCCATAGCGGTGGATCCACGTCTGGTTGTAGAACTCCTCAATCACCTGCAGGGGGAGAAGCAGCCTGGGTGGGCGAGCCCCAGGCCAGGACCCGGCCTTCCTTTTCCCATTGCACCCCTCCTTCAGAGGGGGCCTGGGGCCTGCTTCTTCTTGAGCCAAGTCCCTCCATTTCTGTGGGCCTCAGTCTCCCCAGGTGAGCCACAAGGGGTTGGGCTCCGTCTCTGAGAGCCGTGCCAACCCTCCTACTTTCCCCAAGGTGTGGTTTCCAGTGCCCCGTGGTTTCACAGACTGAACATGACTTGCGGGGACGATGGCATGTGACCAGTGATGAACATTCAGGCATAGAGCAGAGAGTACAAAGGGGAAAGGCTCCTTCCCACTTACCCCTTTTCTCCTCACTGTGCCCTGAGGCCCCAGCTCCTGCTACAGGCCCTCTCCCCACCCCCCTGCTGGGAAGACACATTCTGCCATCCTGGCGCTGCAGTCTCCCTGACCTTGTACTCAGGGCCTGGTGTGACACACACAGCCCCCTCAGATGTGCTCGGAGACTCACACTGCGGTTTTCTGTCCCCCAGGCCCAGCTCCCTCGCGGCTGGTCTCATGGCTTCCTCCCCTCTCCCAGCTGGGCCCTAGACAAGGAAGCAATTCCAGGAACTGGAGACACCTGTCCTAGCTGGGCCTGCCTGCTGGCCCTGGCCCTGCCCCTACCCTGGCTGGCTCCCGGGGATGTAGCAGGCAGGCAGCATGGTTTTGCCCGAGGACACTCATCACGTTCTCAGGCAACACAGGCACACACCCAGTGCCCCGGGACTGGCCAGACCCACCCAGCCGCACGTGTAGCTAGGCACAGGCCCAACTGTCCAGAAACAGCTTCTCATGCACACACACCATCGCATACGCAGACCTATGCTCACATAACTTGAACACTCCTGCTTCAGCTGATCACAAACCCACATGCTCTTCATCCCCTCACCACTGGCAGCTCTAACACAATTCCATGTGAACTCAACCCATCCCCACACCCTTCTCCAGCGCATGCTGCCTCTGCCACCTCCATCATCACTGTTCTTGGTCCTCCCTCCACCTCCCAAGCCACAGAGGGCTAGCAGGAAAGGAGGCTGTGGGTAGCCGCACTTGTCAAAGGGGATGTTGAGGCCCACCGTCCCAGAAATGCCCACTGAGTATGCTGGGCCTGCCCCTTGGGCTTCCTTCCAGTTGCCGTGGATCCTCGGCCTCTAGCTATCTTTTTCCCTGCCCTGCCATGGCTTGTCCCCAAGTCTGGAGCCACCTGATGGAGGCCAGACTCCAGGAGATCTGGATAGGTTGATGGGGGAGAGGCAGCACTAAGGTTCTGCTAGTTTGCTCCAGGGAAGCCAGACAGTGCCATGATTAGGGATCCGGGTTCTGAACCAAATTTAGATCCCAGCTCTATTCCTTATTTCCAGTGTGACCATGGGCAAGTTATTTCATTAATTTCAATGGCTCCATCTCTAAGATGGAAACATTAGCAATACCTACTTTGGAGTGCTGCAGAGAATTAGTGAAACAATGCTTCTACAGTGGTACCATCACGCCATCACGCCACCTCACTGCACACTGGTGGCCTGAAGGCCTTGCAGATCACTTACAGGGTCTAACCAAGCCTTCATCCCACAATCTGAAACCAAGGCGTTCACCACGTATCGACATACCACATACATGGGCCACATCTTGGTTCTACAATCCATTTCCCCACCCCTCCATGCCTTTGAGATGCTGTGACTCCTGTCTGGAGGGTGCATCTTGCTTTGCTGCTAAAACCTTTTGAGATCCAGCTAAAAGGTTTCCTTGATTCCAGGAGTTTGTCTTCCTTGAGGATAGGAACCCGAGTTGATTCCTACCAGAGCCTGTCCCAAGTGTCTCTAGGGACACCTGCAGAGTGAATGGAGGAACCAAGGGTCTTAGGCTCTCCTCCTAGGGCCCCTCGAGTCTGCAGGGGACAGAGAGAAGGCAAACTTTAACAAAACACAATGTACTTGAGTTCTTGAAGGGACAAAACCAACCCCAGTGGAGAACTGGCTGGGAACAGTCATGCCCCATCTATCAGACTCTGCAGAGAAAAAGCTGTGCTGGATAAAGGAATTGTCCAGATAAATGACGCTCACCCCTCTGAGGGTCCACGCTTTCCTGACCCATTATCAGGGTGGAAATCTGAAGAGATACCATTTTGCTGCCTTGAGCAACCAGATCTACAAGCAGGGCTCCAGGGTAATGGTGGTCCTTGGGGCTCTCTATAGGGGCCAGTCCCTGTGCAGACTGGCCCTTGGTGGCTTTAAATGCCTGTATTCCATAGTTGTCAGGATTCCCCTACCCCCTGCAGTTCCGAGGCTTGCCTCGTACAATTCTCCACACCTCTTTTACAATTTGACAAGAAGTCAGCCAATGGAATATGAATTGTGCACAAAGAGTAGACAGGTGCTGAGTAAGGGGTTAGACTACCTAAATGAGTTTAAGGATGTGCTGCTGAGATTTCTGTTCAGCAGCTCAGATCTTCGATACTCTTCTTGAGAGGTTGAGGCAGCCGACAAGAGGACCCTGTGGAAATGAGGTATTAACAGAGCACAGGAACCAACCCTCGTCCAGGGTTAGCTCCTCGATGGCTCCCTGGTTCCTCTGCTACTCAGAACACTTTATGGGATGAAGGAAGGGTGAACTGCCAGCCTCCTTCACTTTAATCTTGGCCCCAGACTCATCCTCTCAACCCCTCAGCAGCAGTCCCTGGCCAAGCTAAGACTGGGTAGTGGAATTCTGCCGCTTAATCTGGTGCTTGACATTTCTACAAAGAAGTTATGCCTGGTTTTCCATTCCTGCTGAAGAAGCTGCTGGGTTGGAGGCTCTGTGTCCTTTCCTCCCTTGGGGTCCATATGGGGTTCCAAGCTTACGAGGGTAGGCCAATGCCATGGCAGTCCTAGGTCATGGTCTGGGAAAGGCAGAGGGTCCCTGGAAAAATCAGAAGCACCCTATATGAGGACCTGGTATGATGGCTCATGCCTGTAATCCCAGTGCTTTGGGAGGCTGAGGCAGGAGGATCATTTGAGGCCAGGAGTTCAAGACCAGCCTGGGCAACATATTGAGATGCAGCCTCTAAAAAAAATTTTTTTTTTTAATTAGCTGGGTGTGGTGGTGGGTGGAAAAAAAAAAGAAGAACCCTACATGGGGAAGACATGAAGTCATGTCTTCCACCCAGTCACTGCCCACATCCATTCTAGAAGTGTCAGAGCACCCTCAGAGGAGAAGATCCCACAGACCCAATCTCCACAGGCTATTGGCAGCCTCCTCAGCCCTGGCTGATGTGCAGTGAGGTCTAACACGTGCCTTTCCTGAAGGCTCCTACCTCATGTGCCTGCCCCAAGCCTGCGAGTTACCCTGATCCTGCCATCGTCCCACATCTCGGTCACCAGGTCCTATCGATTCTGTCTCCAAATCGGACCTACTTCTCCACTGGTGCAGCACTGCCCTAGGTCCCGACTCTTCCTGTCCACCAAAGTCAGACCCATTTCCCGCAATGAACAGCAAATGCACTGACTCAGCATCTACCTGCTTTTGTGCTCCCTTCCTTGTCCCGGTGAGGGCAAGCCTGCCTGCTGGGGAGGACAGGGGAATCCTGGTGGGTTATGGGGGGACTGCGATGGCGTCAGCCTAACTGGAGCTACTAGAGATCTCTGTCCAGGTCCCTCATGAAACTAGAGGGCACCCACTGTGGAGGCTAGTCTGGAGGAATAGGTCGGCTCTGGGCAGCTGAGATCCCTTGGATTGGGTGGCTCCCAGGCCAAAGCTATTCTCACCTGGCAGCTCTCTGGGGGCAAGAGGGAGGCCTGCACATGTCTAAGGACATCTTGAGAATCCCCACGCCGCCTCCCGCCAGTCGTGGAACTGTGGGTGAGGACCACACATCTGCCCGCCTACAGAGGAAGTTCTTACTTCCTCTTTGCGGAGAGGCAGGAGGTGGTACATGCTGCCTGGCACATGGATATGCTGTTAACTATTGTAACTGTTTTCTCAAGGACAAAAGCCACCACCTTCACAGGAGCATTAGGGACAGGGTTTTCCGTTTTTAAATTGTTAGAAGACAAAAGTTCCTACCCTAAGGAATATATAGGGCAAGGAGGAACCTGAAGGAACTAGGGGCCTGCCTTAGAAAGTAAAGCTCTGTCTTCAGACCCTGCCTGGCTACCCCTGGCAGAGGAACCCAGCAGGTCTGTAGCCTCAGGGGGCAGAGGTCCCAGGCCAGACACCAGCTCAGGGAAAGGAAAAGCATGCTGGACTTCAAAGGATGAGGCTGTCCACTTTATAGGCGGTGAGTTCCTTGTCTGTAAAGGGTATGCAAATCAAAGTGACCCAGAGCAGGGACTGGCTGACATTTTATGTAAGAGGCAAACAGACTGCTGGCTGGATGAGGCCCTCCTGCCAGCATTTGAGCTAAGATTCTAGACTATTCCCAAGAGGCTTGTCTGGGAGAAGAAGTATGTGGCCTCACCATCCTCACCAGTCCTTTGCCCTAGGAGGTCTGGGTCTTCTAGATCATCTCCAGCAGGGATCTCTGGGATAGGTCAGGGAGTTAAAGCCCCCTCTCAACCCTCCCTCCTCTCTCCTCTATGTTACTATGGAGATGAAAGGGTTAAACAGCCAAGCAAGCTTTCAGCTCCTTAGATGGAGGAAAGGGCAGCTTGTCCAGCTTGACCTTGAGCCCTGTTCCCCCCTGCACCTCCTCTCCCAGTTGGGGCTGGCCTGAGTGTCCACGCCCCAACCCCATCCCCAGCTCTACAGCAAGTCTCAGTCACACCCCAGGGTCAGCTGGGAGTTCACAGCCAAATGCTCCAGGTGGGGCTGGACAGATAGCCCTGCCCTGAGTCCCCTGGGGCCTCTCTCAGGGGCTTGGGGGAAGAGGCCCAGGTTGGAGCTAGAAGCCGAGCCGCAGCGCAGAGGATCCGACTACCTAGGCTGCTTCTCCAGGACAGCCCTGACATGGCTGGCCTCCAAATCAAGGCCAGCCAGGCCAGGCCAGG